TCTCTCTCCCGTCACCTCTAGCAACTTGTCAGCGTCGTCGCTCGGTCCAGTGATTAGGGAGTCGTCGGCGTGCCTCCCTGCTTTCATCTTGTTGCTCAGCTTCATGAAGAGACACCCGTCGTGGTGGCCCCTGACCATCCCCAGCTCCCCCATGGCGTTCGCGCTGCGGCCCCCCCAAGCCTTCGGTGCTCCTTTGAGCACTGGAAATCGCACAGCGCCTCTCAAACATGTCCTTCAGGTACTCCTGCTGTTGGTGGTGTTCCCGGAAGATGCTGTCCTCGGCGAGCGGCGCCTGGTAGAGCGCTCCACTGCAGTCGCCAAACGCCACCACGTGGTCGCGCGACTCCGCGTTGGCCAGCATCGACTTCAGGCGCGGCAGTGAGGGGTCGTGGCCACGAAGTTCTCGTGCCCGTGCACCTGCTGCTCGAAGCCCCTCGTGGTCCACCGACTCTTCTCGCCGCCGCCCGCCTGGTTGGTGTCGACCCACTTCCCCGTCAGGATCTTGGGCGTCGTGTCCTTGATCGGGATTACCTTAACGATGTTCTTGCCGTCTCCTGCGATCTTCTCCAGGTGCTCCTTCCTTGCCTCCGCGAAGTTGCCCTCCAGCGCGCGCGTCTCCTCGTCCTCCACCTGCGGCTCCTCGCGCATTTCTCTGACCGCATTGATCATCTGGATGGTCGTGACCCTGGGCTTCTTGCCTCCACTTCCTTCTCCGCCTTCGCGTTCTCGTTTGGGGCTCCTCTCCACCGGCGGAATGCCCACTGGCTGCGGTGTTGCCGCCCTCGGTGTCGACGGTCCTGCCGCCTCGTCCGTGGGCCTCTTCGCCTCCGATCGCTTCGTGTCCATGCCCGCGTCGTCGCACGGTGCTGCCGCCGCTGCTGCTGCTGGCTGTGGTGGTGCTTGTGGTCCTTCTCCTGCTGCTGCTGCTCCTGCTGCGGCTGCGGCTACCGCGTTCGGGCCCGGGTATTTCGGCAACGGTCCGGGTAGAATCGGTTCCTGTAGTGACCTCTGCGTTGGTGGCACCCCCCTCGCGGTTGGCGTCGGTTCCCTGGGTGTCCACCTTATCTTGTCGAACAGCTCCTTGTCCCAGCGTCGGCTCTCCGCCTTCCTCTTCGCCGCCCTGGACCTGCGCGCTCCCATCGGCGTTCCGATCAGGTGCTCGCCCGTCCTCGCGTCGCGCCCTAGCCAGCTGCCCTCCAGCCACGACAACCCCAGCTTGTTGACCTGGGCCCCTGGCCTCCAGCAAACCACTGCCCCGCCGACTGCGACGATGGGCTTCTGGTACTTGAGCATGTGGGTCTTCTCGCAGGGCGCGAGGTTGCGCCCTCCTTGATCATGCATCTGTTGTAGAGCCACGCTGCGTGCCTTGGCAACCACGTAAGGAACGGAGGGTCGGGCTTGAGGTCGTGGTTCGGCTTCCTATTGACCTGCAGCATCAGCGCCCCCACTTGCTTCCTCACCATCTGGATGGCCTTCTCGGCCCTGCCATTCGCCTGGCCGTTGTACCTCCCCGACTGCCTCGTGAGGATCGCCTCGCAGTTGCCGTTTTTGATCGCCCTGGCCCTGACTGCCATGATGACTGAAAACTCGGCTGCTCTTCCTGCTTGTTGTTCCAATCGTGAGTGTCCCAGTTCAGCTGGCCACGAAGCCGCCGAGGCCACTGTGTAGACGTCGTCTCGACCTTTATGGATGATGGCCGTGCTCCAGATGCCCCCTGTCGAAGCGTCGCTGCCCACAACGGACTCGAAATTGACGGGATCCCCCTCGACGCCCGCCTGGCCGTAGTCGAAGCTCAGCAGTGGGGCCAGCTCGTCGTTGGCCTTCGCCTGAATGCAGATCTCACGCCATGGTTCTGCTGGGTAGTGCGTCAGCTCGTGCCTCTCGATCTCCTCCGCACGTGGCTCTCGAGATCCAGGTAGTCCACTGGTTGTTGTCCCGGGTTACACCGTCTCGCGATCGTCGGAAACTGCCGCTGGTCCTTCTGGCGGTGCATCCGCTAGTACATCTGCAGCTCCTCGGGATGCGACCTGTGGTTGCTGCCGCTCTCCTGGCGGTAGCGCTCTTGGTTCTCCTTCCAGCGCTCGCTGGACTGCGCCTCCGTCTTCGCCCTCTTCACCTGGTCGTGCTGCTGCGACTTTTGCCCCGATCGGTGCCAGTAGCGCCATCTCCTCGTGGACCTCATCCATGTCATCGTACATATTGGTCCAGCACTCCAGTGCGCAGTGGTTGTTGGTCTTCTTAAGCTTGACCAATCCGGCCGCCTCGTGCCTCAGCAGTCCGCCTTTGCCGTCGTGCCAGGCCACGCGGTTCTCCATCCTGCTGCAGAACTTGTCCACGCTCATGATGGGCTGCTTCACGTCGGTGACCTGGAACTCCATAATGATGCGTCTGTCGCCTGCTACGTAGTGCCTCAGTAGCGCGCCGTCTGCGACCGTCAGGTTGGGGTTGCGTCCTGGTTTGAGCTCCATGTTCGGGAAGTCCCTGATGCCGCACGCGCGCTCATCTGCGCAGTTGTCCGTCAGCATCCAGAACGAACGCCACGCGCCGTTCCCCACCATGCTGTAGATTCTTTTCTCCGGCACCTTTGGCTTCCAGTCCTTCGCAGCTGCGAATGTGAAACCACTTCCCCACTCTGTCGCGCGCTCGTCTATCGCGGTGATCGCCCAAACTCCTGCCCCCACCTGGCTGACTGAGGGCCCTGCCGTCGAGGTGCTGGACCCCCTGGTGGTGGCGTGCTGATGTTGCCCCAGCCGTCGTGCATCGCGATCTCGTTCACTCCGCCTTTCTGCCCGTTCTGGGCCGTCTGCTTACCCTTGCCGTAGTTGGGGTTCTCCTTTCGATGCCAGCAATCCCTTGCATAGTGTCCCCTCTGACATGTTCCAGGCAGGTTGTCGCGTTGCTGCCGCCCTCGCCATGGGATCCGCGCCCTTGCCATTCTGGTCTTTGCTCCAGCTGTTTGCCGTTGCTGTCTCCACTTTTGCCTTCGCCGCCTCTGCCCTTGCCTTTGGGATACTGGCGTCTCAGCGCGTCCACTTCCATGGCTCCTGAGGTTCGGGTTGCTTTGCTACTTTCGGCTCCAGGTCCTGTGGGACTTGGCCACTTCTGCTGGTAACCGTCCTCGTATACCGTCGCCGCTTGCAGATGCTGCATCGCGGTGGCGATCGGTTCGTCGTCGCTTCTTTCGCTCTGCATCTGTAGTGCCGTCCTGATGTTCTTCGGCGCCTGCTGTGGGTAAATGCTCTTCTTGTCTCCTGCATTGAACGCCTCTCCCGACGCCGTCTCGCAGCGCCTGCTGTCGCGCCCCCAGTCTGAGCGGCACTGCTCGAACCCCGCCAGGCCCGAATGGGAAATTCTTCGCATTGAGAACCGCCGTCATGATACTCTGCGCTCTCATCGCCGTCGCTGGCCCGTAGCGCTTGATCAGCGCTCGCCATGCCAGCGCTCCATTCTGATCTTCTAAACCCCTGATCAGCATCTGGGCGCTGCCCTTCACTGTAATGACCAGCGCGAATAACACCTTTTTCGTCGCCATAAACCCTTCAGCTCCCAGACGATGCAAGGTCTCTGCCGTGCTGATGCCTGGATCTCCTCGCTGCTCAGCCGCCTTCACGAGGTTCAGCGCTTGCGCCGTTTGTCCTCCCAGATAGGCCCTCATTACGAAACTCCACTCCGTCCATTTCTCTTCGTGGCCGTCGAACGTCGGTGGCTTCAGCCCGAAGCCCTGCCACTCCGCACCAGGCTCCGTCATGGTCATGTAGACCTCGTCCTGCCCGTCTGTGGTCACGTAGACCTCGTATTCCTTGACAGGGACCTCGTACTTCTTGTCTGTGGTCACGTAGACCTCGTCCTGCTCGTCTGTGGTCACGTAGACCTCGTACTGCTTGTCTGCGGTCACGGAAACCTCGTATTGCTTGTCTGTGGTCTCGGAGACCACGCTCTGCTCGTTGGTGGCCACGTAGACCTCGTCCTTCTGCTCGGCGGTCACGTAGACCTCGTACTTCTGCTCTGTGGTCACGTAAACCTCGTCCTTCTGCTCGGCGGTCACGTAGACCTCGTACTTCTGCTCTGTGGTCACGTAGACCTCGTCCTTCTGCTCGGCGGTCACGTAGACCTCGTCTTGCACTCCTGTGGTCACGAAGGCCTCGTTCTGCGCTCCTGTGGCCACGTAGACCTCATTCAGCGCTCCTGTGGTCACGTAGACCTGTTCCAACTGCTTGGTCACGTAAACCTCGTTCAGCTGCTTGGTCACGTACACCTTGGCCAGCTGCTGTGTCAGCTGGTCGCCGTGGATCAAAGCTCGTGCTGCGGCCACGGCCGCGAGAGCTATGGCCCGCGCCCCTACGCGCGGGGGGGGCGCCCACCGGGAGCTGGCCGTAGCCAGCTCCGCTACCATGATAACTTTTGTGCCAAAGCGGTTGCCGAAGGTTGGCGCAATGGGAACGCCTCAGGCTATGGTTAAACCTCTCTCTCCTCGGTTTCCCTCAACAAAAGGGGAAGTGATGCGGCGGGAACGGGGAGGAGGCTGGTGTTCGGTGACGAACAGGATCAGAGAAGACGGGAGGCGGGAGAGGGCATGAGGCGAGGATCAGAGCAGCGGGGAGCAAACGTGGAACGATCAGAAGGGGGGAGGAGGGGAAGGGACGGATCCGAGAGGAGGGGAGACGAGGACCGAACAACAGCGAAACGTCGGCAGGACCATGAACTTGAAGCCCCCCCCCCTACCAAGAAACCCACCCCCCTGGCGCCACCCAAAGGGGCACGCACGGCTCTCTTTCGCTCCCGGCATCCTTCTCCCTCGGCAAAAGGGGGAGAAGGCACCCGCGGAGGCAGACGGCCCGAAGCCGGTGACCTCACCCTGCCCGCGCGCCCGTGGGCAGCCGCCACATGGGCAACGCACACGCCTCTCTTCGGCTCCCGGTCCTCGGCCCCCGGCAGGGGGGGGGGGGAAGGGCAGCCGCCGAGGCGCAGGTCCCCGCCCTGCCCGCGGCGCACGCGGGGTCCTCGAGGGCCATCACGACGCGCTCGGTCTTCGCCTTCTTCTTCGGCCTCGCGAGCTCGTCGGCACCCTCCGGGCGGGGCTCGCTCCGCCCCCGCCGCCTCGCGGCCCTCCCCTCGCCCGCCGCACCTTCGCTCATTAACGACGGTCGGGCACCTTTCCTTTTGGCGTGCCGCGGCGGCGGCCCTGGCGACACGCCGTGTCTTGCAAGCTGATTCCTTCTCCACCACCTCCTCCTCCTCCTCCTCCTCCTCCTTAGTCCTAACTCCTAACTCCTAACTCCTCCTCTTCCTCCTCCTCTTCCTCCTCCTCCTCCCCCTCCTCTTCCTCCTCCTCTTCCTCCTCCTCCTAACTACTCCTCCTCTTACTCCTCCTACTCTGTTTTCTCCTCCTCCTCCTCCTCGACAAAGCCTGAGCGCAACATGAGTCTGTCGCGCCAAGTATGCCACTTGCGCCACCGCATGCGCAGCGGGGTGGCGCCTCAAGCCACCTTCGCCACCACACTGCGCAGAGGCGGGTGGCGCCAACAGAGGGACATGGAGTGCCCGACTTCGTGCCACTTGCGCCACCGCGTGTGCGGCGGGGTGGCGCCACAAGCCACCTCCGCCACCTCACTGCACAGAGGCGGGCGGCACCTCACGAGCGGATACGGAGCCAGAGGAGCAGGTCTCGCCAGCTCTCGGGATGTCAGCTGCGCGGAACTTCTGAACAAGAAGGTGCCACACACGATTGACAGAAACTCTCGCAGGCGCACGGCCCAAGTTGGAGAGGACTCGGGCACCATGCGAGCCTGGACGGGGTGGCCCTGGACAGGCCCCGTTCAGCTTGGCCGGAACCTTCATACCCCCAAACCCGCACCTCACGCACACCACACACCACTCCCGATTGGCCAGCTGGAACGGGTGAATAACATGCTGAAGCGCATCTGGATTCGCGAGCGCCTGTCGCACAGCCGACAGATCAGCTTGAGCGAGGGCTCTCGGGGTACGAGTGGGCGGCGGCGGAAGCACAACCCTCCTCCTCCTCCTCCTCCTCCTCCTCCTCTGCTCCTCCTCCTCCTCCTCCTACTCCGGGGCGGGGGGCGGGAAGGGATCGGGACGTTGACGCTTGGGGGCCAGGGCGCGGTTAGCGGTGGTTAGCGTGTCGCGCCGAAGCGTTCGGCGCTGCGACAAGGCAAGCCGCAGCTCCCGAGAGTGAGCGCGCCGTTGGGGACTCTTGCTGCCTGCTTCCGCTCGTGGCCATCGGGCCCGCTGGGTGGAGCTGGACTCCTGGAGCCGCCAGAGCTCAGCTCCACTCCCGGGACCGAGTTCGATCATCGGGGCGCCGGCCCTGCAGCCGGTCGACACGTCGAGCATACACGCCAGAAGCCCCAGCCTGCCGGGGCGGGTGTCGCCCGTCCAGGCGCGACGCCGTGCCGCCAGGCCTCCAGGCCTGGGCCCGGGGCGGATGCTCGCCAGGTGCAGAGCGCGCCCCGCACACGCGTGCCCGACGCTTCGTGCCCGCGGAGCTCCGCTCCTGTCCTCCTCCCTCCTCCTCCTCCTCCTCCTCCTCCCTCCTCCTCCTCCTCCTCCTCTCCTCCCCTCCTCCTCCTCCTCCTCCTCCTCTCCTCCTCCTCCTCCACCTCCTCCTCCACCTGCTCCTCCTCCTCCTCCTCCTCCTCCTGGTGCTCCTAGTGAGCCGTCACGCGCATCTAGGATGTTACTGGGCCCGTGCATCCGGACGTTTCCAGCGGGCTCACGAGGTGCCATCACGGAAACAGCGGCTCACGCTGCAGCCTGCTTACACTCCTGCGCCATGCAGCGTGTTCGGCACGAGTCACGAGCTGTCATCGCATCGACGAAACTCCCAAATAGCAGCCACTACTAGCTGAAGCCGGGATCTGGCTATGCGGCTTCCGTACCAGAACAAGTGAATACAACAGCTGTTTCCGAAGGGGATGAGAACCGACAATACTTCAAGATTGGCGACATCAAGGCTGCAATGCGTCACCACTTCAAGGACCTCTACGAGTATACAGCGCCAAATGTATCGAAGATACATGTGGGGCTATCATCGATGACCGCCCCAGATACCACGTAATGGACTAGATCCACCACAACCCCTGCGAGCTGGTTGCGGGCACTCTACCAAAAATTACTTCCTGCTGGAGACCCTCCCATGCGACACGGCAGTAAGGCTCCATTGCTACATGCCCCGGGACCAGGAGAAGAGGACTGCATCACTGTAGACCTCGATTCAAGAGTACCTACAGTCGGCATGCTCAAGAAGGCAACCGTTGCGAAACTAGTTGGCCAGCCGTACGACTTGGTCGTAGACGAATGCAGCCGAACCAAAGTCTACTACATGAACTGCAACGAGTGCGATTTGTCAAACGAGCAGAAATTACAATACCAGCCTACGCTTACAGGCGGCACGAAGTACTTGATAGACTTGACCGACCAACAGGGGAACCCAATCACACAGGAGTACTACAAGACAAATGGCCTACCCTTTCTCCCACAACA